GATATTAGAAAATGTCTCCATAAGCCAAAATTTTAAAATTGGGTGAGACAGCAAGACAATATACTCACTTGCTAACCCAAGAAACTATTTCTTTCTCTAATAGAAGACATAAGGAAAAAGTTTGCTTCATTCCAGGCTCATGCTTTTCACGAAAAGAGCTCATTGAAATGATCATTTCAATTCAAAAGCTTAGTCTGGAAAAGTGAAAAAATTTGGAATGGAAATGATCTTTCTGACATATTGGCGAAATCAGCCTGAAATGATTCAAGCCTATTAATAAGTACCGAGGGGTGTCGGTGGCCGCAACGGTTTAGGCGTTGTCAGGGCGCTCATCACAGTAAGGTAAATGTCCCGGGTTCGAAAGCGGCCCTGCATTCAATGGGCTTTTTTTCAAAAACACCGGCACCCCGAGGGTTGATATGATAAAAAAAAAGTAGAGTACATGATAATCATTCATCATCCTCTACACATATTATATAACTAACCTAATTGAGGGTCGATGGGGTGCTCACTATTCCGACAACGGCCCCCTCAGACTACACATTCACGCTAATAAATAATTTCACACATAACACACGCTAAGGACACTAAACCTCAGAGCTATATATAACACTGCCCTGTTTCTTCCAAATTTCCGAACTGGGGACCCAAATACTTGCTACCATCATTCTCATATCAGGGTGCTTCACGCTCTCTAAGTAGAGCCAAGGAGTTGCATGCTTCAATTAGATGGGATACATCGAGCAACCTTTCTCAACATACCGGACACATACGCGGGCTTTGGCCCAAAAGTAAGGGTCTGTGTGCCAACCTAGCATGGCCTATCCTTAATTGGGTGAGGATGACCTTTCTTCTACGAGTCACATATTCCGAGGGCCACCTATCGACAGTGTTCTTAATACGTGACAGCTTTGCTGCGATCCGACGCTGTCATCTTCTTTTAATCGTGTTTTTATGGCATTTTTAGCGTAAGAAGGCTTGATTAATTGAAAGAAGTTATTACAACGTTTGAATGCGTAGTATTTCTTCTGTTAGTTCAGGCCAACAATTTTTGGATTTAACGTCATTATGAGTGAACAAAGTCAATAAAAACTCGTCAAACAGTTTTTCCGTTCCTTGTTGGCCCTGAAAAATTTCCCAAGGATCGAGGAAACTAGGCATTTTTGGACTGGTATAAATAATTTTAGAAGGCGAAAAATTTGAAATTTTCGAATAAAATGGTGATAACTTTGGATAGACCCCAGCGATCATCAGGAAATTTTACAGGGGTTTAGAGACCTACAAATTAGTCGTAGTGACACAAAGGGTAAGCGTCCTTTGGTTTTAGTAATTTTTTTAACATCTAATACAATCCTGCTTGTCAAAAAAATCAATTGATATATTATTACCTTTGAATACATGCGCAAAAAAGACAGAAAACTACATTATGAAAAATAATGAAATTTTTTTTCTGGGTTTCCTAGGGCCAATTGGAAAGAACGCTGGGATACGTGTTTAATATTTTACGACCTTTATCACCAAAAGTTTCATTAAAATCCGTGATATCACGTCTGTAGCTTCCCCTTGTGATAAAAAAACTAACCCTTTATGCCCAAGGAAAGTAATAAATAAGATTAAATTTTTTTTAAAATTAATAAATCCGTTTATTTTTGTTCCAGTGTGTCCTGCATTTCAGAATAAACAAATATCTAACAAGGTAATTAGGCTATAAATTTTCAAATCAAATTGATTAAATATTTATATAGAAAACTTTATGCCACTTTATTCATTTTTTTTTTTTTTAATAAAACATATGGTTACATATATGGCAGTCTGCGGATATGGAAGGACAGTCATTTGCCCTTTGCCACTCTCCATGTCCTTTTCCTACGGGATTAACAACTATAATCCTGTTATGATTAAATTTTCCGTAATCGATGTTTACGGTCGTGAACAGGAGATTTAATCGCCTTAAATCTCTTCTCTTCGTACTCAGTAGGAAGTCGAACGAATGCCATGCAGTCCTTGGAATATAATATTTTGATATGGGTTATCGAGCCAAGGTCGGGCCGTCTAAAGATTATTACATTGTCATACTTTGCGATTGCAAACAATTATTATCTAACTAATTAGGGGAAATGAAACGAAGGTGGTGAACGTGTTCATGCTCTGTAAACACTAAGTATATTGGGTTTCCNGTCTGTCAGATATTAGAAAATGTCTCCATAAGCCAAAATTTTAAAATTGGGTGAGACAGCAAGACAATATACTCACTTGCTAACCCAAGAAACTATTTCTTTCTCTAATAGAAGACATAAGGAAAAAGTTTGCTTCATTCCAGGCTCATGCTTTTCACGAAAAGAGCTCATTGAAATGATCATTTCAATTGAAAAGCTTATTTGGGAAAGGTGAAAAAACTTGGAATGGAAATGATCTTTTCTGATATATTGGAGAAATCAGCATGAAATGATTCAAGCCTATTAATAAGTTACCAAGCGGTGTCGGTGGCTGCAACGGTTTAGGCGTTGACAGGGCGCTCATCACTGTAAGGTAAAGCTCCCGGGTTCGAATCCAGCAGCCCTGCATTCCCACCCGACATACTTACAAAAAACACCGGCACACTGAGGGTTGATATAACCTCTGCTGTTGTGAACCTTCGATAAAAAAAAGTTACCATTGGTTTTCCTATGACATACACCTTGGGGAAAGTTCAGAAGCTTAGTCAGAAAAAGTAGCAAGAGCTTTGGAATAACTTCTCGAAGGGAGATTCACATAGTCTAGCTACTAACAGACGGTAGGATGACAGCTTTTTTATAAAGTCCACCATAGTCAGTAGTAACCCAGTCCAGACTGTTGCGATCAAATTCAAGTGCAACAAGATAAGGCAAAGGCAGCCTTTCTGGCATCACATGGTGTAACTAAGTAACTACCTGAAAGAACCACACCTAAATGACACTAGTTTTATACATATTTTACGATAAATAAATTCATATGTTATCAATAAAATATACACATAAAAATGTGCCCTTGAGTTGTATTATATAATTAAATGACTGTACAATATATAGCGTTCTAATCGGCAAGGACAGAATTATCACATCTGTTTATTACAACAAAAAAACAAAACTATGTAGATAATCTGGAGGGAGACTAGGAAGTGGAAAGAAAATTCTCAAAGAGTTTAGTCAGTGTTTTGTTGTCAATATGACATTCACACATGTGGTTGTTTTCTGTCTCATCATTTCATCCAGGAATTATTTGTTTCCATCATATTATGGAATAAATGGCTCATTACATCTTCATGACAGTTCAGGTACAAATTCTTATCTTGCATTTGAAATTAAAGTCCATGGGCGTATTGATAAAAGGAAGCTATGGACATGAACCACCTAACCAAACATAATAAACTACTAAAACTGGAAAGTGCAAATAAGTCAGTAATAACATCGGTTATACACTATATCAACTAGAGAAATCAGCTAGAGAAACAAATTGTGCAATTGGTCCTGGCCATTCTTGTTATTAGTATCGTTTTCAACCACCTTCAATATGTCAGCAAATCAAAACACAAGACGTGATAGAACAAATGAAATAAAACAAATGAACAATAAGGAGGAGTTTGTTTCGTTCACCCTACCCTCTTTTTACATTGTTTCCCGGCACATTTTCCCCATGTTCTTCTTATCTCTGAAACCAAAGCATACAAGAATAGACTGAACAAAAGTTTTATTGAATAGTCCGCAAGTTGGATTAGTTTGAACCTAAGGGATGGTTAGAGTTATTTATTGGTTAAGTTGGATAGTTAGTTGGATGGTTGGGTTATTTTAAGTACTTTTTTAAATGTAGCCTTTAAATCTGCCTTTATTGTGCATATATTTCAAGATTAATACACATTGATTTTTTTTAAACATAGGATAAGAAAATAATAACATTAAATTCAATGAGATAAGATATATAAAAAGTTACAAAACCCAAAGACACTTCCAGTAAATTTAGCAAAAAAATAAATAAATAAACAATTAAAAAAAAATATTTTATGAAAAAATCAGTTCAAATTCTCTTTAAACACCCTTTAAAACCGTTAAATACGAATTTTTATAGAAATATAGAATTTTGAATTGATTATTTGGGTGGGGGCAATTCTCGTTCTCTGATGTCCACTGTTCCACTTAAAACTAATAATAATAATAACTCCACTCGATTTATCCAAATTCAACATTAATACAACCACTGGAAAGCTTAACATTTTTTTTTTTGCGTATTTCAACATGTTTTGATTCTACATCATTATGAATAAAAAAATAAATAGAAATGAAGATGAATTTGATAAAAACTTTTCAAACATCAGTTTGTAATTTATTTATGGAGGCTAAGTTTGTGCCATTATGTGTAGTTTAAAGTGTTCAAAGCCTCTGCAAAAAAATTCGTGTGAATCTGTGGAGCCTTTTCAAAGTTGTCAACATATTTCCAACAAAACTCAGAGGCAAAAGGTGAAAAATTTGATAGAAAAAATATCCCCAAAATTTTGTATCCAGGTTTTTTTAGGGGGGAGGGGTGCAGTCACAAACACATTTTTGGAGTTGGTTTTTTTTTGGCCTTTGTGGGGTGCCATAGCCATTTGCTCTAGATGTTTTATTTATTTATTTTCTTTTCCTTTATGTATTTTATTTTAGATTTTGTATTATTTATTATTATTATTATTATTATTATTGTATTTTTTAAATATTATTTTACACATCATAAATTTATGTTTTGTTCAATTATTAATTAATTAATTTTTTATATCATTTAGTTAAAGTCATTTAAACCATAATTCACAGTCAGTCTATCGGTCTAACTCTCATGTATACAAGTTATGGTTTCGACATAAGAAACTAATTTTTTAAAAATAACGTTTATTCAATATAAACTATAACTTTACACAAGGATTATATTTTAAATACAGTATATACAGTTTGGAGTCCCGAGTGGATCTCACAAAGAAGGGTCTTTATGCTTACAATACATTCTCTGAATTTGTATAGGGGTAAAGTTAGTGGTTTTGTGCAGGCATAACTTACATATATCTCACATATACATATACAGGGTGAGTCATTTGACGCACCATTGGAAAATCAACGCGAGTGCGTTTAAATCTGACTCGAGGCTTATTTCCTTTGATTAATACTGAATAAAAGAAAGTGAGTCAATTTTCGGTACACCTTTGGAAAATCAACGTGGGTGCGTTTAAATCTGACTGCCATTTTTCAAATGTCGTGTAATCGGATTGGATTCTCGGCGACAAATGAAATGGCCACGGAGAGCTTTAGTGAAGTATACTTCATTTTAATTCATTAAATTCAAAAAGGAGGGAAAACTCAAAAGGTGGGGTTGAGATAGGAAGTTGGTGTCCGAGTGGATCAAGGTCACGATAGCTCAAGTGGTAGAGCAGCTGCGTATCTAGCCGAAGATCGTGGGTTCAAATCCCGCTCATGCCATTGACTTTTTTATCTCAACTTAAAACCTTAATTAATTGTAATATATTAACTGGTCAAGCAGACCATGATATTAGTGAACATAATTTTAATGTTGCAGAAAAGTGTCTTCCAAATCAATTTCATTGCAAAGAAGGATGCATAAGTAAAGACCTTGTCTGTGATAAAGTCCCAAACTGTAAAGACGGAGAAGATGAAAAAATTTGTAACGGCACTTGCCAAGCTGGATTCACCCAGTGTTCTGATGGAAAGTGTATCAGCATTTATGATTTGTGCGATGGTTTTCCAGACTGCTTTGACCACGGAGATGAATCGGTAATGGGATAAAATAATCTTTCCACTGAAAATGTAATAGTTCTGTCGATTTTAAGTATTGTTCAGGTAATATCTTACATTGCGGGGTCGACTTCGCATGCCCAGGATCTTCGATGTGCATCAAAGGTTCATTTGTTTGTGATGGGGAAGAGGACTGTCCACATGGAGAAGATGAATTCGGATGCAATGGTGATTTCCCTTGTGATAGAAATGAATTCATGTGTGACAATGGACATTGCATAGCATTGTTTCAACGTTGTGATGGCATCTCTAATTGTGATGATCACTCAGATGAAAACTACTGTTGTAAGACATGATTTTCTTTCAGTAATCATTGAAGATTTGTCTCACTAACTCAGAATTATATCATATTTCATTGTGAAAATTGCAAGATTGTCTTGTCTCCTCTTTATCTGAGCTTTCATTTCAAACAGAACAAACCTTAATAATAATAAAAAAACTTATTTCTGTTCAGTAAAAAGCCTATAAGGAAAGTATATTTAACTACCATTTATCACCCCATACACGTCAAGGAAAAATATTACAATAAAAAAACTAGTTTCTCATTTATATTTCTTTGGTTTCTTTTCAGGAACTAGACAACCATCAAACTCATTTTCTTTGTATTGATATCGATTTCAGGGGCATATCAAGGTCTCATTTTCTTTTTGGAAAAGATCCTGATCTAGTTCTTGAAAAGAAACCCAAGAAATATAAAAAGCCAACAACCGAAAAAGAAGAGTAAAAAATATTGCTTATATTTTTTCTTCCTTAACAAATTTTTAATATTTCAAACATATCAACTAGAAATTTCTGTCATACAGGAGAGCTTAATGTTCAACTACCCATCGGATGTTGCAGATCTTTTTGTAACTTGTAATAATTTTTTTTTCAATTTATTCTAAAAACTGCCCAAAAGTTATGCTGATAATCGATCCTAGAGCAATCAAATTAATAAAAATTAAATAATTAATCCAATAAATAAATTCATAAAATAACACTGTTTTAGGTATCATTTGTACCTAACCTAATCTAACCAAAACCAACACAACCCTCATGCCCTGGTAATACAAAATCAATGAAGCATAAATGGCCACTCAAACGAATGTGTGTGTTCAGCAGAAAAACATATCCATCTTAAAAATATTAAAAACATTAGCACACTTAATCCTATTCATACCTAACCTAATCAAAAGTAACCATTGCTTACTTAACATACCCAATCCGACCCATAAACACCCCCTGGTAATGTAAAATCATTGACAGAAAAATGTCTACATAAAAAATGTGTGTATCCCAGCATAATAACAACATATCCATCTTAAAAGTTTTAAACTTTCATTAGCACACCTAACCCTATTTGTACTTAACCTAATCTATCCTAATCCAACCCAACCTATGCACACTCACTGGTAAATGGAATTATTGGCACAAAAAATGTGTATATCCAGCATAAAAATATATCAGTTTTATTTATTATTCATTATTTATTATCCTTAAGTCATAAAAACATGGTTTAGTAGTCCAAATTATGTATGTAATATGTATTATTTTCCAGCATCAAAAAATAAAACACATTCTGACAAATGTAGCAGTGATAGTGTTTGTTCACAAGTGTGTATAAATGGATCGGATGGGAAAGCTACTTGTACATGCCTTGATGGATATAGAAAAGATCCCAATAATACAAATAGTTGCTTATCTACAATGGGCCATGGAAGTCTTTTGTATACACAAAAAGAAGTGATTTTTAAATTCAATTTAGATGATGAAAAATTGATTACCCTTTGTTATTCAACATCAGCCATATCCTTGGATTATGATTTTGATGAAAAGCTCATATTTTGGAATGATAACAAAGAAAAGAAAATATACAAGTAAAAGAAATTATAATGGAATTATAATGAAAACAGTTGTTCATATACAGTAAATTTTTAGATCTGCTGTTGATTACAAAAGCATTTGCTCAAAAAAAGTAGTTTTAAGCAAAAATTTAACATCTGTTGATGGCATTGCAATTGACTGGATCTACAAACATATTTATTGGACAGACAATGAAAAAAATACAGTTGAATTGGCTAATTATGATGGCAGTATGAGGAAGACAATTATTAAAGATGACCTTGATGAACCTAGGGCATTAGCTGTGCATCCGAATGAAGGGTAATATTTCAACACTAACCAATAAATTATTTTTAATAATTTTTAAAAAATATTTTAAGGTTGTTGTTTTGGAGTGATTGGGGAAAGCACTCTTGTATTGAAAGATCATGGCTTGATGGATCGCATAGAAAAAAAATTATAAAATATGGAGTAGAGTGGCCAAACGGTTTGACATTAGATTTTGTAAAGAGAAAGCTATATTGGGTGGATGGGAAAATGAATTCAATTTCATCATCAAATTATGATGGTTCAGATCAAACGATGATTATCAGGTCGTATGAAATATTGAAACACCCATTCTCAATAAGTGTATTTGAAGATTTTATGTACTGGACTGATCTTGAGACAAATTCTGCTTTCAAGGCAAATAAATTCAATGGAAAAAATGTTACTACTGTTTTAAAGGAAATGGTGATTATTTAAGCATTTCTATATATTTTACTTGCTTACTTTTAGATATATGTTGACAAAAGACATTCTACTATTTTACTCACAGCTTTAATTGAAGACTAACTTACATCTTAATATATTATGTGTTTTATTATTTATTCAATTCACTAATTTCGTGGTCCGCGTGACCAATTAATATATTACAATTAATTAAGGTTTTTAGTTGAGATAAAAAAGTCAATGGCACGAGCGGGATTCGAACCCACGATCTTCAATTCAAAAGGTGGGGTTGAGATGGGACACTTGAGAACCTCAAAACCTAATAAATGTAATGAGCAAAATGAAGTATATTTCAGTAAAGCTCTCCGTGGCCATTTCATTTGTTGCCGAGAATAAAATAGATTACACGACATTTGAAAAATGGCAAAAAGGAGGGAAAATTCAAAAGGTGGGTTGAGAAGGGAAGTTGGTGTCCGAGTGGATCGAGGTCATGATAGCTCAAGTGGTAGAGCAGCGGCATATCTAGCCGAAGGTCGTGGGTTCGAATCCCGCTTGTGCCATTTACTTTCTTATCTCAACTAAAAACCTTAATTAATTTTAATTTATTATTTATGTTATTTTTTGAGAAAAAAATAATAGAACAACTAAAAACCATTAAGAAAAAAAAAAAAAAGGTTCTCCCTGTGAAAATGTACTGTTATTATAATAATTGTGATGAAATTATTGTAAATAATAATGATAGGCAACAGTCTGAAACATTCAATCCAAAATAGACCATTAAAACTGTCATGGTATTGTCTCACAGGAGACATCCCAATCTCCAAACCTAACCACTGCAATCTGGCCCTGTGATGCTATAAATGTTATTAAAAAAATTGATTAAAAGGAAATTGAAGCATCGGTGGGCTGGATCGGCAAAGAAGCTCGCACATATCTAAAACTCATTCAATAGGAAACCCTCGGAGGATCTGAAACAAAGAAGAGAGATGACTTATAATGTGATGTTGACACATTATATTTTGGCCAAAGCATATGTGTCCCAATGAGAGAAAATTTGCTCGATGTGCACCATTTAATTGAAGGGTTCCTTGGCTCTATATAAAGAGTGTGTAGGCTACCTGAGAAAATTGTGCCTGAGTGGTCCCCTGTTTCAACATTTGGGTGAAAAAGGCTGTTCTATCGTATCCAGTTTTACATATGTAGAGATTGAATGCATTTATTAGTGTGAGTGGGACGATAGTGGAATATTAAGTACACTACCAACCCCAAGTACCCCTCCAACTTGGGCAGTGGAATGGATAACACCGTGGTCTGACCCCGAACTGTCAAAACCCAAAGAGGATCAGTAATCAGTATTATATCATAATAAAAAAATATATTATGTATTATTTTTGTTATATTATTTAAATATTCTTTTTATGCATTGGTAATATGAGGTCAACTTTCTATTACAGTCCATTTTAATATAATTTCTATAAGTTATTATACTAATTTTTAGGTAAATTAACCCTTTTTACCTTCCAATTAACCATGTTTTATTTAAAATTAATATTTTTAAATTTCAAATTAACCTTTTCTAACTTCAAATTCACCCTTTCTGATTCTTTCCCTTAGGAGATACTACGAAATATATCCATGTAATGGATTTTTTTATGTTAAAAAGGGTTAAAATGAATTATAAATTCTTGAAAGGATCGCCCAACAGTTGTAATTGTAATGATGTGATTGAGGTTGTGGTCAAGGCTGGGGATGTTTCATAATAAAAAAAACAGTTCTGCCAAGTTTTTGACTTTATTTGAAGTCATCCTTAGGGCCTGAATTATAAAAACATGGAAAACATATTTCATGACACTGATAATGCAATATGATTTCATTTTTATATTTGCTTATATATTACAAATAAATAAATAACATTATTTTACTTCTTCATGTGATTAATCCACCCTTCTACTACTCAAACAACTGTTAGTTTTATGGTCAAACATAAAAGTCAATAAAATGGTTAATTAATCACACAGAGTGATGATAACTTAAGTTCGATTCCTGCTTGACACCAACTTTTTCATCTCAACCAAGACCTTAGATAAAATGTATAATTAATTGAAATAATTAACACGGCCAATTATGACTGCTAAACTAATATATGGATTATTTATATCAATTTAACTACATTTCTTAATGAAGTCTCCTAAGTAAAATAAATATTTACTCTGGCATTGAATCATATAGATGAATTTAATATTTGATTGTCAGTTATTTGCTGTTATAGCACCAACCTGCCACAGTGGTGCAGTTATGGCACCCTTCCCGTCAACGAGCGGGTGAAAACTATTGTTCTGGCAATAATTGCTCGCATCTTTGTTTTCCAACTCAAGAGCCAACAAATGAATCAAGTTTTATTTGCGCATGTCCTGATGGGCTTTCCCTTTCAGATAATCAACTGGACTGCTTTCATCACGGCAAGTATTTTGTTAATACATGGATTTTTGTGTAGAGCTTAAAACACTTGTAGATATTTCCGCTGAGGTTATCGAGTAGCCATTTTATTATATATTGGGATTATTACTAGCTGCGACATTTTTACACTTTTTTCTAGAATTCGGCATTTATTTCATTTTTCTATTTAAATAAAAAAAAATTTCAGAACACAAGAAGGAAATAGTTGAAACAACCTCTGAAATAAATAACAATAATACCAAAACTATTACGATAGCTTTAAGCATTGTTTTGCTTGTAATCGTCACCCTTTTAGTAAGTATCAATGATCTTCTTTTTTTTTTTGAAATTTTAAATCATTCACCTATTTGATTTTGTTTTATTACCAAGCAAATATTAAATTGATACAAATAATTTTTGAAAGGTTGGGTTTATTCTGAGAAAATACTACAAAAAAAAGAAGGAAAGCGCTAATTATAACAACCCAGTTTATCAGCAAACCACTGAGGAGAAGAAAGCCAAGCCTTTAGAAACTTTCCAGTCAACATACACTCAAGGGTCTGAGGAAGTTACTATTAATTTAGTTAAGGATAATTGACTTTTACATGTATTTGGGTGAGTCAATAAATTTTTTTTTTCAATTTCTTATTTATTTTAAAAATCCTTTTATACCTTTCAATGTTATTGAATGAATAAGTACTATTGTGTTTGGTTAAATATGCTTTGTGAAATAAATGTATTTTTTATTTATTGGAAATAATATGTGAAAAGTATTGTAAGTGGTTTGACGGTCCACGACACCCATTACATAATTGGATGTTAAAACTCTCTCTTTCTTTACTTTAAATAAACCATAGTTTTTCTTCTCCTCATATCATACCTCTTTTACCATATTTTTTGAAAAACCAGGTACTTAAAGGATGAAGTATGAAGAAGGTTAAATCTGGACTCCCTGAAAGCCTTATTTTCAAGTTTATAAAAAATTTTTTAGACAGAGTGGATGGGCAAGACAAACATGATCGAAAATGACAACTACTACTAGTCCTGAAAGAATTGTAAGATTTATTCTTGAAGACTAAAACCTTGTGTCTCTGTTGTTTCCTTTTTATTCGTTTGTACTAACATCACATAATCAACTTATAATTGGGTTTTAAATTTGGCATGACCAACATGAACACCTCTCTTGAGGACAGGACAAGTTATAAATAAAGAGGAAAAACAATATATGGCTCAAGATACACCACTGCTGGATACAATATCTCTTTAAGGGCACCCTGACTAATAATACACCATTGCCTCTCTCCATAAAATTATTCTTACGTTTCGTTAAAATCCTCTAAAAATAATAAGTTTATTGCACACAAGAAGAAAAAAGAAAAATTACATATAATTCCAACAAGAAAATAAACTTAATACGGCAAGGTAACCGTCTGCCGGAGCTTGGATTAATTATTGACTAATCCTGTAAAATAAACGTACAAATGCATTAAACTAAATCTATGCTAAGTGTAACATCTATAACAAAATACCAAATCAAAAGGACACAAAACTGAGAATTAAAAATCAATGAACGGAGCTGAGACCGGAGAAACAGAAACACCAAATATCAAGGGAAAGAGCAGGGGCAAAGAAATTGGGAGTAAAAGAGAAGAAGAGAGAAGAATTACTAATTAAATTTGTTTACTATTAGCCTTCGATAGGCCCAGGCCGCTTTAGCATAATTCACCAAGTCTGTCCAATCTGGTCCGTTGAGCAATCTGATGCATCTGTCCATTGGTAAGGTTCTTTCGCCGAACGCAGATAAACAGTAGGGGGACAGAATGGGGCATTCCGCGACAAAGTGGTATATGTCTTTCTTCACCCGGTAATTACATAACTCACACTCCTGTTGGGTGAGGAGATCATACGGCTTATGTCGTAGGTTCACCAATTCTCCCCTCAGTTTCAGGATCCAACGTATGTCTGTAATTTTCTTATTTGTCTTTTGGTCCCCAACCAAGCTGGCACATCTGACTCCGTGATCCAGCATCCTATATATACGGTATCGACGGGAAGCCTGCACTCTCTCTATGTTGCTCACCATAAAACTATCTTTCAGTCGACTAATAATTGACTGGAGTTGAAGAGAGAGAGCCTTACTCTCGGGTTGCAAAAAGGACAAACCCACTCCCACCCTGTCCGCCAGTCTACCCCAGTCAGCAGCCCAAGATATCCCCAGCCTGATGATCTCTCCAGCCACCATACGGGGGAATCTGGAGTGGTCCATTCGGAGCACCTTAACCAAATAACGACCATTCAAAGTCAACGTGAATAGAAAGACTGGATGAAGGCCGGTTTCAATGTGCAGCATGTAAACTGGAGTGTAGTTTGGGAGACTGAACAGTTTTCGTATGAAGAACCATAGCACCCTCTCCACCTCCACGAATTCCTCTGATCCCCATACTTGTGCAGCATAGCACAGAATTGAGCGTGAGACCGCGTTAAATATATGCAGCTTAGCCTTTAGCGGGATCTGGGGCTGCATCATTGCTCCTCTCCAAACAGAATTAAGGGCAAACTTGGCCGAACACGATTTCTCCGAGAAGTGGGGTTTCCAAGAAAGTTGAGAAGTCAGTTGTACTCCTAGGTATGTATAACGATTTACCACTTCTATATCCTGACCTTTGTATTTCCAACGCTCTTTAGAGCCAAGCCTATCTCCCCTGCGGAAAACAACTATCTTCGACTTTTCCAGATTTACCCTAAGATTCCACGTATCACAGTATTCCTCTAGTTTGGTAATATTCTTTTGTATGCCACGTGGATTGTCAGCAAGAATTAGACAATATTGACCTCTAATATTTACTGTTATTTATTTAATTTAAGTATTAACTGCTACTATTTTAAATATGGCATCAATTCTATTATCTTGTTTGTTTTTTTGAACAGGCATGCTTCGGAATTTGGTTATTTTCAGTGGTTGGTCTGTGCGTTGTTTTGCCAACTGTCTTTTTGTATGTTTATACACACCAGCTGCTAATTTATAAATATTTTAAAATCGTTGTACTCCAACTGTTTATCAGTGGTGCATGGACACAATGGAGTTTCAGAGTTTTTTCGGGTAGATTCAGGTGTCAGGCAGGGTTGTTTGCTAAGTCCTCTCTTGTTCTCTCTCTTTCTAGATGACCTTCCCTCTTACTTGATGGCAGCGTTCGCATTGGTGACGTGTCAGTCAGTATACTAATGTACACAGACAATGTGGTTTTCCTGTCTACAAATCCTGTAACGCTCCAAAAAAATATTGACAAACTGGTGGCTTATTGTGACCTTTGGAATCTTTCTGTTAATTTAAATAAAACCAAATGTCTAGTTTTTCGTTCGGGCGGTCGGCTTGCATCCAATGAAAAGTGGTTTTTTAATGGGAAACCAATAGAGACAGTATCTCAGTATAAGTATTTGGGTGTGTCCTTAACTCCGAGATTATCAATGAACACGCATCTTCTTGATAGGTTCTCCGTATCTAAACGTGCTGTTAATAGAGTTTGGCCTGCTTTCCTTTCCCAGGAACTAGTGCCTCTTCCATTTAAGTTCGGTCTCTTTAAGTCTGTTTGTCTTTCCATAGTCTGTTATGGAGCTCAGGCTTGGGGTTCGCAACAATTCAAAGTTATTGAGAAATTCCAGCGTTTTTTTTATTAAAAAATTATTTGGTATTCCATCGGTAGCTCCAAACCATATGGTTTATCTCGAAACGGAGGTAGATCTACTTGAAGTGTTCACCTTGAAGTTACACTTTGATTACTGCCTAAGGATGTTGAGGTTACCTCCTCATAGATTGCCAAGAATCTCTGCCTTGGAAATAATAAAAGCCAAAACTTTCTGGTTTAGGAATTGGATTGATCTGGCTCAGAGATATGATTGTGAATTGACTATGGAAGACATGTCATTATGGAGTGGCCAGTTGGCCACCTTATTGAGTAAAATGAAATCTTCACACCATGAGGAGCTTCAGAAAAAAGCTGTAGTCCCGTCCCGTTTTACATTATATCCGGAACTTGATCATTGTGCTGGCATATGCAGCCTGATTGCGGACCGGTCGTGTGGTCTATCGCTTAGAGAGCTCCGCTATTTAAATTGAGGTGCAAGTTGCTATTCTTAAATTACACTCCATGGATGGAAAAAGTAGTTGAATTGTGCCCTCTATGTAATTCCAGAGCGGTGGAAAACACATTTCATTTTGTCGCCGAATGTTCGATTCTGGCAGAGATTCGCAACCTACACATTGGCCTGGCGAGGCTGACCAGACCCGCACTCATAGCAATGTTAAATGATGGCTGTCTGTGTCGTCCTCTCATCAGATTTGCTTGCCATGCTTGGACTTACAGATTCGAGCTAGTCCAACACTTTAATTATTAATGTTTTACAATATCTCTTTATTTTGTTACCTTTTGTTATTACTATTTCTTTGATTTTCTTCTCTAGAATTGCTTTATTTTTATTATTTTTTGATTTATTCATTTATTTATTTTTTTAATTTTGTTTAATTTAATCGCAGTATTTTATAGTATGTTCATAGATTAATTTAATTTAATTATTTCATGTATTTTTATTATTATTATTCTGTGTTTGCTTATATCAATTCTGGCTGACGGACTGTTGTCCATGCCGTAAAGTATTTTGTAACATATTTTGAGTTTGTTGTATTCCATGTAAATAAATATTATTATTCATTCATTACAGACCAGCTGCTGAATAATTAAGTCCTGACAGACCAAAACAGTTAGGATAGGCAAAAACTAAAATGATCAGAAATGACCAAACGACTTGATGGTTGATTTTGTGTGGTATTTTCTCTGTCATTTTATTTTTATTCATTTGCACAGGCACCTATCATAACAATAACTTTATCTTTGGCATTACTGACGTGAACACCACTCTTGAGGCCAGGACAGGATGTCAGTAAATATAAAAAGCAATATAGGGCTTAAGAGTCACCCTTGCCAAACGTAAAATTCATTAATATTTTACCAGGAAAGTATTTAAAATATCCTGCTGGTAGAGTGCATTGAGTAAAACATATTAACATTATTATAGCTTTATTTACAAGTAATAGTATATACATAACAAGTACTGTCAACATTAAGAATTTTTTTTTAAAAGTTGAAGCTATTCAATAGACATAAATTCAATTTTAAATATAAATGTTTTTATTGAAATTGGGACTTTTAAAACACACACTAACAATATGTATCAAACATTTCTATAGAACTTTATAATATTGATAGAGTTCAATAAAATTCAATGTTTTTAAGAAATGAGAGTAATATTAAAAAAGCAGAGATCCCTATAAGCTTATTTAATAGTTAAGGACTCAGTCTTTTTGAAATCTCTGGTGTTTTTTTTATTATTTTTTTTATATTTTATTTTTTATATTCCATAAAAATACATTTCATTTTATGAAGAAAGAACACAAAAGGCACATAATGGGAAATTAATATTTCAAATTCACTAATTGGAATGAAATCAAGTAAAACATATACGATTTATCCAAATACAGTTTTTAAACTTCTAAACTGGCTCTTTATTATTGTTAATTTTATTCTTCTTTTTAAATGTTACATTTTTGTTCTGTTATTTTCTTTCAACTTTCTACTATAATAAGAGCACACTCAATGGAAGAGTTAATATTTTAGCGAACTTAGAGTTATAAATTTGTATTTAGATTATAATAGGACATGAGCAAAAAATGTATTAAACGAGAAAACATTTTTTAAATAGTTCGTTTGTTGAATTTTTAAGATTAATATAAGTCGAGTTTATCACAAATTTGTTACGTTATTTTAATCTTTTTCCTCTGGTCGCGTCTTCTTTCTCCTTCAGAGGTTGACTGGGTACGAAGCTCCCGGAATGAAATCTACGGATCAAAAATGCATAATTTTTTAATAATGTTAATGTAAATTACAAGTATTAAAAAAATCATTTACCAAATCTTCATTATCAGGAACTCGAGATATTAAATCTAAAATTTCATTGTTAGGAATTGTATGAGGCCTGATGAGTTTTCTCGCAAATTTGTTCACACCCCATATAAGTATGAGGTATCGTACAGGAACAAAGTAAAGCACAATTGTAATCCCGATTAAAATTATAACTGCCAGGTAAGTCAGAAATGGAACAGTAAAGTTGAAAGTACTAAAACAAAAATACACATTCTTATTATTATTATTATTTTTTTAATAATAATTTTTTCTCCAGGTCACAGCACTGCTATGGCCAGCACTGTAACTGGAACAAGTTAACAGAAACCACCCAATGTTGGCAAAAGGGCAAGAAGGTCTCGAGGCCATCGTAGGAAGGGGCAGTAGGGTTAAGAAGGATTGAGAGCTTGGTGTGAAACTTTTGGAACCGGGATCGGATCAGTTGATTGACCAAAGGAATGTTGAGGACTTTGTGTGTTTAGCGACGCATTAAGGAGCTTTAAAAATTTCAAGACTTGATTCTAAGGATTTGATATGCTGGATAGTGGAACACCAGTTTCACTCCATTTCTAAAGTGGACGTGGTAGTTCCTTTTTTGGATCTACAAGTTTTCATAGTTCCTGTTTCTTAAGTCTTGTGTGGGATTCCACATTAGACTATTGTCTATGTATAGTGCTAAGTATATGACTTGGTTGAAAGTCGGTAGCACCTTGATGATAATGTACAGTGAAGGTATTTTCAATGTACACTGGGTACATTTTTCTTCGCTCGGTCTTGATACTTTTTACACTAGTTTTTGATAACTCAAAGTGCACTTGGATGTCGCTTGAATAGGATATAGGTTAGAAGATAACTGTGATATCATCCACGTGATGGTTTTAGGATGTGTAGGAAAGCCAGCATTGTAAATGGTATACAGGATAAGACCAAGAATGCTCCCTTGTGGGACACTGGCTTGTATTGGTCACACCTCACTCTGAAGCACCGGATTAAATCAGATTCCGGGATACGGTAAAAAAAGGTGGGTAGAAAGCATTTAAGTTTATACAAGATGCCTAGAGGCCACATCAATACGGTCAAGCAACACTCTTTCTTTACTAAGGCAAAGGAAATGGTGGCAGTGACTCTGAAAATCTTCCTCGATCGATTATAAGGAGTCTTTCAAGGATTTTGGAAATCACAGGAAGACCAGTCTTTGTTTTAAGGTGTACTTGGATAGTATTCAAGTTAGGAGACAATTCACTAATTTTGTGGTCCGCTTGACCAATTAATATATTACAATTAATTAAGGTTTTTAGTTGAGATAAAAAAGTCAATGGCACGAGCGGGATTCGAACCCACCAGAAGGAGGGAAAATTCAAAAGGTGGGGTTGAGATGGGAAGTTAGTGTCCGAGTGGTTCGAGGTCACAATAGCTCAAGTGGTATAGCAGCGGCATATCAAGCCGAAGATCATGGGTTCGAATCCCGCTCGTGCCATTGACTTTTTTTATCTCAACTAAAAACCTTAATTAGAAGACAATATTGCAATGGTAATGATGGTGTTGGAAGGCAGTAATGTAAATGGTAAACAGGATGGAACTAAGAGTGTGCCCTTGTGGGTAGCCAGCCAACTTGTATTTGTCTGATATATGATTATGTGCTGCTTCATCTCTCTCAGAAGCAGAAGTCAGTTAAATAATTCCAGGATAAGTAAATAAGGAGTGGATAAGAAGCATTTAATTTTTAATTTTATCGTTAAAGAATGCATTATAAAAGCTACATCCAGCAATATTCTTTGTTTCCTATAACGAAGGAAATGGTATCAACAACTGTAAAACGTTGCAGAATCGTAGAATGATGGGAACAGAAACCTAATTGGTGAGAAGGAATGATTTTCTATGAATCTAAAATGGGTACTAATCATTTAAAAGGAATCAGAATTTTGGAAGTCCCAGATGAAAGCTTATGGGTCTGCAAGAGGTTATGTGGAGTGAGTGGTGCGCAGAAAGGTGTTGTATAGTTTGGTTAAAAATATGGCCTTCTGAGGAAGGTTTGAAAGTAAGTTGAGGTAATTCGCTCATATCCTGGGGGATCATAGTGAATATGATTTTAGGATTTATTGTTATCTTCATAGTACTCACTTGGTGATACTCTCTCCTAAAGTTGCAATATAACCTATAGAATTTTGAACAATTTGTGTGACTTCTTGTATTGCTTGCAGCCTTTCTTTAAGACTCTTCTTTTCTTCCTGGAATAATAATGATAATATTACAAAAATATCTTTAAATTGATTTAAATTTATTTGTGCGCTTGAACAAAAAGTTACCTTATCCTTGTCATCCTCGTCTTCTTCTTCATCTCCTAAAGGTTCGTCGTCTTCATCATTATGACCCCAAGTTCCAGTCACTTTCTGGACCTAGAAAAATAATTTAGTGGTGTATTCATGGTAATTCAAATAGATGTCCACTTACAATATAACATTTGAGAAAGATAAGTAACATTGCTGCAGGTAACATGTACGGCTCAAAGTAGTAGCACAAAAGAACAAACATCACAAAGGCTATAATGCTCTGGAATGTTGAATCCCATTCGAAGAGGCCTCTGAAAATCGTGAAAATTAAACAGTTTAGCAAATTGTTGATTTATAATAATTAAAAATGCTTTTAATATAAATTTGAGCAATTCAGAGGATAATACACATATTTTATACAAAAACAGAAGAAACTGCTAGTCCAGCAAAATATTAAATTTTTGATACTGAAAACCTGCCAATTACATAATTTAAATATAATATTGTTATATTTTGTAATAAGTAATAATAATAAAGCTCATTTAAATTACTTACTCTATATATTTAGAAATATCATAAAACCACATTACAATTGTTTTCAACCTCATTACATTTCTGACAAAAACTTGTCGTTTGAATTTTATTTCAGGCCTCATGAATTTTTCTTCCTTTGGATTTATTATTCGTATGCAAGCTCGAATCTATTAAAAAAATATTATTTTATTAAGGTATAATTTTAATTTTAAGAACGGCATACAATTTAGGGAACTTACTGGATTCCAAACAACAGAGAGTTCTAAAAAGATTTGCGGACAGTTCCCTTTCGCTCGTCCAAAAAGTTTCTTGTCTTTAAGAGCATACCATCGTTTCTCATTGTTTCGAATCCTTAGCAACGGTATAGCAATTTTTCCAAGAAACTCAACTTTGTGGTCACGGTCCTCATCGTAGACTGTTACCTCCAAAACCGAAGTTATATCTTTAATATTGCTACAAAAATGAAATTAATCTCACAAATGATGTATATCTATTGTTCTAAAGCTTATTAAATAATTGACTATTGATGATTTGCTTTTATTAATTAAAAATGAAAAAAGTACTACTAAAAATTTAACTTTTTTATGAGTTAAAGGTTAAAGTTGTATTACAATGTGAATATTTTTTGCCAAGATGGACAGAGTGTCTTATATTCTGTTTGTGTTTGTAGCCTTGAGTTAACTAATTCGAGAACACAAAATGGATCGGATTTTCCTCCAAGATCTGCTGAAGCTAGGCCTTGAGCTCTGTACACTCTTACAGTCAAATGGCCGACGTCTTTTAAGTTTTCCAAAGTTCTTAACAATGACTAAAACAGATATTTAATAATTTATTGGTTGCCTTTTTATATGAATACAAATGTTTAAATTTATTCTCACGTATCTACTCTCTAGGAGTTGCTTTTCCTTTGGATTTTCATCGTAGGAAGTGAGGTCAGAAATTGTTTCCGATGCAGTCGTACCACTAATGGTTAATAGTAAAAATATATGCCCACTGCATTCATCCAGTGGTTGTTTAATTCTGTGCGTTTTCTCCCTTTCCAGCATTGACAAATCGATAACACATCTAAAAATGAAAAATCCTTTTATAGATAAAATAAATTACATATATAAGATGCAAGTCAAGAATTTTGTAAATTAAAATTGAAAAAATAGTAAAGCTTTCAAGAGGACTGTGGTGGCTGAGAGATTAAAGCATTTGACTATTATTTGCAATGCTAACAGTTCTGGGTTCAAATCCTGGCAGTCCAGGTATTTTTAATTGTGAATACCGTGAAGAAAGTACTGTAGAATGGTTTGATCCCTCGTCCATGGCACCAAATTAGAAATTGGACTTTAAGCCCTCCTGTATGACAAGAATTACTTTACTTTATCTTTAATAAAGCTTTCATTATAGAAAATTTGAAAAACAGCTTTAATTGAAAATTGTGGAGTATTACAATTAATTAAGGTTTTTAGTTGAGATGAAAAAAAGTCTACCACCTGAGCTATCGTGAGAGCAGTGGCGTATCTAGCCGAAGGTCGTGGGTTCGAATCCCTCTCGTGCCATTAACTTTTTTTCATCTCAACTAAAAACCTTAATTAATTGTAATGTATTAATTGGTCAAGTGGACCACAAAATTAGTGAATTTAAAGAAATTGTGGAGTATGTTGTCTCACTTTTACAATACAGCATGTAGAATTTCAAGGATTATACAGGGTGAATTGCTACTCGTGCTACAAACTTCTCCAGTAGATTCTTCACCCTAAAATGAACAAAAAAGTTCATATTGTCCATGGTCCGATTCTCAACCATTTCAGAGTAATTTCGCTTTTTATCGATTTTGAAAGATATCACGTCCTGGCGTCGGAAAATCGTGATATCTTTTAATCTAAACATTTCTCTTAAAATCTATAAGCACCGTTGAAATCCCCGTTAATTTTTAGAGAGAATCAAAATCATAATTCCATTGAAATTTTTTAATTTAATTTAATGCCCATTTAGTATGTAATGCTTAAGAAGTTTACAAACAGCTAGAAGGTCAAGGAAGAAAGACCCAAACGTTTTGCCACCTTCATCTTCTTATTGAAAAATTAACGGGGATTTCAACGGTGCTTATAGATTTTAAGAGAAATGTTTAGATTAAAAGATATCACGATTTTCCGACGCCAGGACGTGATATCTTTCAAAATCGATAAAAAGCGAAATTACTCTGAAATGGTTGAGAATCGGACCATGGTCAATATGAACTTTTTTGTTCATTTTAGGGTCAAGAATCTACTGGTGAAGTTTGTAGCACGAGTAGCAAGTCACTCTCAAACATTAGCAATCCTTGAACCACCATTTTTTCTCTTTTTGTCATCAACATCTTGGTCTCACAACCACTAAATAAGAAAATGACGAGTGCGTTGGAAGCGTTATTAAATCAGGTAGTTTTCCTCAAATTTGCTGCCTTCTGAGACTAAAATTAGAAACTCTGGATTACTTTATACACTTTCCGATTTACACAATTTTCCACTCTTTTTGTAGTTCTGGCTGAAATAAAACACAAAAAATTAGCCCAAACATTTTGCCACCGTCATCTTCTTATTGAAAAATTAACGGGAATTTCAACGGTGCTATTAGATTTTCAGAGAAATGTTTAGATTAAAAGATATCACGATTTTCCGACGCCAGGACGTGATATCTTTCAAAATCGATAAAAAGCGAAATTACTCTGAAATGGTTGAGAATCGGACCATGGACAATATGAACTTTTTTGTTCATTTTAGGGTGAAGAATCTACTGGAGAAGTTTGTAGCACGAGTAGCAATTCACCCTGTATATATGGTGATTCTCATAACCATTTAATTTTTTTTTTAGATCTAGACTTCCTGCTATCATTTAAGGGTTTGGATAACTGTTGTTCACGTACTCAGATACTCAGAACACATGTAGGCTTTTACAAGGCTGATCATTATCATGCATATGCAATGATTCAGAGCTTAAGAAAACCATAAAATCTTCACATATTTTAAGCCATTCAATGCCTCCTCCTGGATTGGTACAAACCTCCAAAGAAATATCACCACAGAACATAATAATCCTCCAAATGCCACTGTTTCCACATGCAACACTTACTTCTCACACTTAAGTCCTCAAGGCCATTGTCGATTAAACCGATGTGGTGAGTTTTTGGTATAGGAATGTGTAGAGAGGGCTTGAGCAATAGGGTTAGAATGGATCGAGAGGTTGAATGGATCAGTTCATGATTCATGGATAGTGAGGTTAGTGGTGTAGTAAGGAGTTTTGACAATTTGTCTGAGCATGTTTGATTGGAAGGATGAGTTGGATGTTGGATGGCTAGACAGAACCACAGTTCCACTTCGTATGTCCAATAAAGTCTCGTATAAGGTTAGTTTACTTTTGACGGTTAAGACAGATTTTGATCTTAGAAGTCTTCTTAGTTGTCTAAGTCTTCTGATAAGTTGTTGTCTCTCAAGTCTTGTGTGGGGATTCAACATCAGCCGCTGTCTAGCTATGGTCCTAAGTATTTGACTTGAATGGAAATCAGTATCTCTTTGTTGTTGATTGACAAGTTATTTCAATGTGAACCTACTCTGAGTACATTTTCCTTCATTTAGTCTTGACCAACACTTTTTGCACCAGGCTTTGATAAGCTCAGTGTTCTTGGATATTAAGACAAAAATGTGGTATTGTTGTAGTGATGATGATAATGGGATTTATAGGGAGGGCAGAAGAATAAATGCTATAAAGGATGGGACCAAGAATGTTCCCTTGTATGACGCCAGCTATCTGACTGACTTCCAAGAACTTGCTCTATACTACATGATTGCTGTCCCCTTATAAATCTTACTCTCTAAATGGAGGTCTTTAGTGAAGTAGAGCTTTCACGGTCCTTCTTCATATAAGGTTTGATTCAGTCTAGTTCTAACAGTTAGGAGTAGTACTCCAAGATTGTTAGCCTCCGAATTCCCGTGATCAAGTGTTTATGAAACTGTTAAATTGCGCTTGTGGATTTTTCCACTCTCACAGTGCAGTCTTAATCATAGAAGTTCCATGATAAATAGGTCCTTCACATAGTTCTTACTTGACCTACTCAAAAAAGATTTGCTTTTTTTCAAATTTAAGGAAAAATTATGAATGCAATAGATGACTATTGTTGTTTTTAATTTATGGTTTTATTATTTTTTTTGTTTGGTATGGAGTAGTCATAGCTTCTGTGTGTCCTATCCACTGTTTTACTTATTTTAATAATACGTATAAAAATTAAAAAAAAAAAAACCACCTTCCAATGAAATCTTCCTTTGATTTTTCCTTATCCCAAATGGTCACATCCAATTCCTGAGACTGATCGTCATACAAGTGAAGATCGAATTGTTCCAGCCAACTCGGATTGAGTGTTTTATTTGCAACTTTGCTCTTATATTTTTCATTCCCGAGCCTAACTCAATATAAATAAATCATGAATTTTTGTACAAGGCTGCAAAAATTAGACGTTTGAAAATGTAATACCTAAATTTTACATATGGGTCACAGAACTCATCACCGTTCAATGGAGGTAAATTTTTGGCTTCGATAAGAGCGATGGTAACAACGGAACTCCATATTTGGCTTTTTAGCCTTCTGTTGATATCTGATATTTTGCAATTTCTTTGGAAGTACTGAAATAGAAATACAAATTAGTAATTTACGCATTTTGTTGAAATATGTCTGAAAAAAGTAGCTTTAAAAAATGTAAAGAAATTACCTGTTCTTTGTCTTCCTGACTTCTTGGGCATAGGGTAACTGAAAGGTATAATTCTCCGAGGTAATCTGATTTGCCTGGATCTTGGAGTGAAAGTACTATATCTGTAGACCTTTAATAATAAAAATATAAATTTAATTTCATAACTGTGAACTTTTTTCTTTTTTTTTTTTCAAAAATGCATGTTGTCAAGGGCCTTTCGCTTGTGGTAAGTGTATTGTAAAATCCAGAAAAGGTTTGTAAAACAGAAGGTAAATTTTCAAGTTTATTTTTTTATGTGCAAATAAGGTAAGTGTAGAAAATATTTATTAAAATGGAAAAGTTAATAATGCAGTAGCAAATGTATTTGAGCATTTTAAGACTCCTCAGATATTTTAAGCTAATTAATTATTGTGCCATTTTAGGGGTTGTAAAGTCCGTAGCGTTTTTAAATTATTCAATTTTATCCCTCTTGTGCTTTAAAGCAATATTTATTCATTATTATTTACATTTTTTTTCTGAAAAGGTTTTTTTCAAAATCTTGTACTTTTACATTTTTATTATTTTTTAATTTAAAATGCAGGGAAAAATAGTGCATTTTCATAATTTATTATTTTTTATTATTGCAAAGGGAAAACCGCAGCTCAGACTAACAGGAAAATTTGTGATAAGTAAGATGATGTACCAAAACCACTGTAAGTGGAAGCAAACATTTTGATTTTGAAGACACTATAGTCATTTGTCAACTGTTAATGATGACCAAATTCAAGCTTTTGCCTCAAATAACCCACACTCAATCTGAACAGATCTGAAAGCAGCTGGGTATGCTATTGATTGAGAAGAATTCGTAGGACTGCATATGCGTTTTCTTACTAAAACGGAATGTAAAGGGCCAATTTTTAATTAATGTATGCTGAACCCGAAATTGAGTGTTTTACTTTAGACCACCCATTTTCTACAAATGACCTTGACTGTGTGCTGTTCGGTTTAAAAAAAACATGAAGGCTCCGGGACCAGATAGTCACCTATGAATTTTACAACTCTCCAACTATATTCCGTGACAAAATGTTACCTTTTTTAACTACCTTTACAATTTAGGTACGACACCATCATACTTCAGTAAGTCACTAATTTTTCCCCTGTTTAAAAAAGATGATCTTGGTGATGCTTCTAATTATAGAGGCATCTCTGTTTAGATACCATTGCAAAAATTTTTTCAACCCTCATCTTGCACCGCTTAGAAATATTTACAACTGATTGTTAGCTGAACTTACTAAGTGAATACTAAGTTGAATTACATAGAGGCTACTTCACATTTGATAATCTATTTACACTTTGTGATAGGATTCATCTAAAAATTTTACAGTCGCCATAAACTACTTTTTTTTTCTGTTTTTTCTTTAAATTGATTTTAAGTCTGTTTTTGACAGTGTGGACCAAAGTAATTAACATCCTTAGAAGTTTATTCGGAAATGCTGCTATTCTGGTTAGAGTCAAGGAGGGAATTTCAGATTTTCCCCCTGTAACTTTGGGGATTAAGCAGGGATGACTTTCCCTCTGTACTTGAAGGTGGTGTTCAAGTTTGTGACACTAAATTAAAATATTGTTAAACGCTGATGATGGATTGTTCATAGCTGACAATTGAATAAGTTTAGAGAGTAACATAAACAATTAGAAAGTGAGAAATGTTATTTGACTGTTAACCGTGCCAAATCTAAGGTGGTCATTTTTAGAAAGGATGGCTGACTTGCCTGCACTGAGAGCTTAACCATCACTAAACTCAATATATTTAATGCTCCCTGCCTGTGCTGTTCTATTCATGCTAAGTTTGGGGTATCAATGGTATGACGTAGTTGAGAAATTTTATATAAAAAAGTTTGTGCCCCCTCCTCATCAACCCCTAGCTATATGTTGTATTTAGAGATATCTATAGACCTACTGATGGTACCTACACTGAGGCTTCACTTTAAGTATGTCCTGAAAATTCCTAATCTTCCTAATTCCCATTATCCAAAAATTACTGCTCTTGACATTATAAAACATAACACATTCTGGTTCTCCCACTGGCATACTCTATTTTCTAAATATTCCATTCCACTTAACATAAATATTAATTTCACTAATTTCGTGGTCCCTTGACCAATTAATATATTATAATTAATTAAGGTTTTTAGTTGAGATAAAAAAGTCAATGGCACGAGTGGGATTCAAACCCACGATCTTCGGCTTGATACGCCGCTGCTCTACCACTTGAGCTATCGTGCGCTATATCGATCCACTCGGACAATAACTTCCCATCTCAACCCAATTCAAATTTCAAAAATTCAAAAGGTGGGGTTGAGATGGGAAGTTATTGTCCGAGTGGATCGATATAGCGCACGATAGCTCAAGTGGTAGAGCAGCGGCGTATCAAGCCGAAGATCGTGGGTTCAAATCCTGCTCGTGCCATTGACTTTTTTATCTCAACTAAAAACCTTAATTAATTATAATAAATATTAATATATCTCCAAATGAAAACCTAATCTTGATTCTCTTCTTTCTTCTTGCAAAGATCAGTGTATGTCATCAGGAGGAGACTGTAACCCCACTTGCTCTGACATGATTTTTTTTATCATACAGTTTCCCACTGCCATTTATTGTCTGGCTCTAATCAGCATCTAAATCTGGATGATTTGCAGTGGGTTTTTCAAATGAGGTGTGGTTTACTTTGGTAATACACCCCCTGGATGGAGGATCTATCTGCCCTGTGCTCTCTATGTACCTCTAAGTTCAGAGAGGTTGAGTTCCATATCTTAGAAGAATGTGCAATTTTAAAAGAAATTTATGCTCCTCCTAGGCCGCAGTTCTCTGTCTAGAGATGAACTAATTACTGGGCTAAACTCTGAACCAATTCCACTTGTAAAATATTGCAAAAATGCATGACAGTGCAGATATATTTATGTTAAAGAACTAAATATTTAATGTTTAATGAGGTACAATTTAATTTTAATTTGTTATTGTTTTATTTTATTTTTCGCTTTACTTTCATGTTCTTTAACTTTTTGTATTGTTCTGATCTTTTGTTGTTTTATTTATGTTTTTACTCACCTCCGGCAGACAGAATTTTCCATGCCGTACTGTACTTCTTGTGTAGTTATTATGTTTTGTATTACTGCATTATAACAAATAAAGTACTATTATTATTCTTTTTTTAAAGATTGATAACTGTGGATGAAAAGTAGGAAAATCAGAAAGGAAAATCCTAAGATGCAAGGACCTACTACTACCAACTCAAAAACCAGATCACCTGGTCATCAAGAAGGTGCATTTCGTTGGATTGGAAAGCGTTGCTTTATTACAATTTCATCAGCCCTAACTGCTAATTCTAGTGTACACTGCATAAAATTGGAGTAAAGTCAAAAATTGGGCCAAAATGACCGCCATTGGTTAACTGCAAAAGGATTATTTTACACCAAGATAACGCTCGGGCTTGCCTGATGCTGCCCTTTAAGATTTTCACTTATTCCTTGCTCTGTGAAACTGTAGTAATGGAAAAAGCTTGAATCCACTTGAGGACCGTGGAAAGTGCATTGAGGAGTTCATCACACAAAAACGGGTGACAAAATTTCATGAAAGATGGCAACATGTAGTGGAAAAAATGGCTCATACTTGCTATCCCTGGAGGCGTCCGGAAAGAAGGAAATGTATTTTATTGAAAGGGAATAAATTAACATTAATGTGAAAGAAAGTGTAATAAAAAATTGGTTCTAGGGCGAGCCCCTGATTTAAAGCATCTGCACGACCACACAGTCTTGTCGGTTTAGTATAACCGGAGCGCCGTTTATTTAATTTTTTTCCCCATGAGAAATATCTCTCTGAATCGAAAATAATCATGTGCATTGAATTCCAAAGTTCATTTTTATTGTGAAAACACATTTCTTTACATTTTTAAATTTCGTGAAATTTGTATGATTTTAGTCTGAATCACTGCCTCCAACAGGGTAGAGATTCTTGCATAACTAATTTTTAAATGCTAGAAAAATAATTATGAAAAAATGGCTCATACTTTGTCGATTAAAATTGTTTACAAGTGATTGAAATTTTTATTGAATTCAACATTAAAAAGAAAAAGAAAAAAACGCTACAAACTCATTTTACCCGATTCATTACATTAAAATGAAAGTTATTCAGATATCGATTAACGGTCACTAATCTCTACACATTAAAATGAAACTTAAAAAGTGAGAAGATTGAATTAAAAATAAAATATAATAAAGAAATAAAACATGCAGTTAGATTTCATATAAATTTATTGCTGGGCTTTTTATAATCTACTGACCAATGAAAACTCATCTACAAAAAATACACATTTTAGCAATATGAAGAGACCCATCATTAAGTCAGGCATTCTCTTAATCCTTTTATGTACATCCTATTTTATACAAAACCACAGCATAGGCAATATAAAAAAAAATTGACATTCTGATTTTAAAGAAAAATTCGGGCTCAGAGAAAATGCATGCTAAATTGAATTATAAATAAATTATTAGAAATGCTGCAGACTTTAGCATTAAGTCAATAAATATCGAAATGTATGCGTTCAAATATCTAATAATGTATTATGCACACTTTTTATTAAATTAAACTAAACAATAAGACAAGAAGAGAAATTGTTGTTGGGTTTCATACTAATATACTGGTACACATTGAACAGAGGATAAAAATAAAGGAATTCACTACGATGCCACTCCTTATCATGCATAGATTTAGAACCTGCAATAAATATTTTGGCTTTACGAAAATCAAATTATTAAGGCATGATTTACTATATTCAATAACAAAAAGCTAAAATAATATAAAGATTAAATAGAAAGTTTTAGTTTGTTTTAAAGGAACTTACTTTCCGAGTTCTAATTTAGTGAGATCAAGGTACGCTGATCCCATAAAATCATCCTGCAAACCCCAGTCGTAATCAAATACCTGCATGAAGAAAAAAATCCATTTATTGAGATTCGTATTAAGCTTAGAATTGAATAACTTTACCTTCAAATGAACAGGAATAAAAGGATCTTCTATAGGTATTACAAAATTTTCATCCCACACTGGATTTAAATCTCTATAGATAATTTTAGATTTGAATAACAACCTTCCTTGAACTTTAAATTTCACATAGGGATCACTAGTGCCTTAAAAATAAAACTCAAATTTATATCAAAGGTTTTTTTTATATAGAAGCTTTTGTATTACATTTGAAGTATCAGAGTTTAAAAATTATAAATTTTTTCTTTTTTATGTTTTTCTTGAACAACAATTTTATTAAAATTTAATGGAGATTGAGAGTGTAGTTTAAACCTACCACTTTTGTCCCTCGCAATCAAGTCTTTTCCTCTTTTCAAATATACTCGAAGTTGAAAAAATGAATGCTGTCTCAGTGCTGATTCCCTTCTTCTTTTAGATTCATCAGCAGCCTAAATATTTTTGATCAAATATCAAATTTTTGAATCGATTGTAATTTAAGATAAATACTCACAATTACTGAAGGATCTGGCTTCACTAGTAAATCGGGAACTGGCTGGTCTTGAGAGACAGTGATATTTTCTACCGCTGAAGAAATAGAAATTAGTTAAAAAATGTCTTGCAATAAGTAGTTTTAATAATAAACAAATTTCTAAGAATTTCTTATAAAAGACTAACAGAATTCACAGAACACATTTTATAAAGAGTTAATGGGGAAATACTGTATATTCTGTCCCAGAAGACCTATTCTCTTGCAATCCCCATTCTTCAAATTGACATAAGATGTTAAATATTTAAACAAAAGAACAATCCCTGTAACAGAGAAATGTTTGCTTTTTAACTAAATCAATCAAATATCGATCTTTGATATTAATAAATTTGAACCTTATTTGTGAAAGTATAAACAAATTAATTGGAATAATATTAGATCTAATACAAAAACGCTACTATTATTGATATAAATAAAATTATGTACCTGTCAGTCTGTGTCGGGGTGATTGTGTCAAGGGAGTAACACTGCTACTGTGTTCTGAGGAATTGTCTGCTGCATAATCAGTGCTGTGGCTTTCTTCCTCACCTAATTCGCCTCTTTTTCGTTTCCTTTCACGGCTCCTTCCACGACTCCAACGTTCCTAAGAAAATATAGTAAAATTATATTAGTTATTTTAAGGATTCAAGCTGAGTTATGAATTAAAAGATAGTGGAAACAATAATAAAATGATAAATAGTATCGTAGGTGAGAAAAGAACTAACAATTAATATTCTAGATAATGAAATAATTTTTGATGCAAGGAACAAACTAACTGAATGAAAAAAACAACATTCAATCTACAAAGAGCAGGATTCGAGTTTCTTTATTTAATAAGACAAAAAATTGTAATTTTCAAGCTTAATCGTTGAACCAATATAATTTTGCATTAAAAAATCATGACTGACTTCGATCCACTTGAATACCAACTCCTCATCTCAACCTACATTCTTTTCAATTTTACTTCTTTTTGCCATTTTTCAAATGTCAACAAATACAACAAACAACATACAAACAATAATTTTTTTTAAACAGTTAAATTTAGATTTCACCCACGGGTATCCTTATTAGTTCATAAATTGTGAATTGAAATCTAGGAAGCAAGTTTGTGCAGGGTGTACAAGGATACAGGGTGCCTTTGATTTTTAGATGCCCTTGGATATGAGATTTATGCTTTTTAGCATACTGCATGGCCTCAGTAAATATCTCCGGTATCCTCAGGTCTGACCAAGAGGTATCAACCATGTTCCTTAGTATTTTGGGAAATTTTGTAAAACTATCTTACTCTTTTTGGCATAGCTTCAGAATTATAAGCCTTAATTACTATGTTTTTAGTATTTATATGATTTATTGTATTACGTATGTAAGTATTTATTAGTATTACTGATTCATAAACTGCCAGAAGGCCTGGAGAACTACCCAATTCGGGTTTTGGCAGTTCGGAGTCAGAATTTGATTTGGCTCTAGGGGCTATCGACAGCTAGGTCATTTCAGCCCCCAACACCATCGGTTTCTAAATTCAAACCCATTCACTCATAAATATGTTTTACTATTTACATACCTTAACTCAGGATGGTAGAGTACTTGATATTCCTCTATCACTTATTACACCTATTATATAACTAACCTAATTGAGGGTCGATAGGGTGTTAAATATTCACGCCAATAAATACATTCACTCTCAACACAAGCTACTACAAAACTATCAGTATATATAAAAAAAACCACCCTGTTACCACCGGGATTGGAAGATGGGACAGATTCTCGCTGTCGTGCTCAATTTTCATATCAGATGGATTCCTATGCGATTGCACCCTTCAATTGGGATAGGACATTGAACAACCTTTCTCTATATGCTGGACAGATACATGGGCTATGGTCCAAACATAAGTGTCCGAATGTCAACCTCCCATGGCCTATCCTTAATTGGGTGAAGATGATTCTTCTTTTACGAGTCTTATCTTACAAGGGCTACCATGGTTGATACGATACACCAGATAGTTACATCAATTAGTTGGATATATCATGCTGATTTTGTTTTTATTAGCTCAAAAGTAAATAATTGAGATATACATATAATGCTATATCTTTGTTATTGTGTAAAGCATTGCTTTTTTCCGTTAAATTATACCTTTTTAACTCCAAATTAAGCTTTGGGGATGGTTAGGTTAACTGCAATTTAACATTTTTTAAAATTTCAAATTACCCTACTAAAAAATGCCCTGTTCGAGAATCTTTTATGGATGCATGACCTATTCCTCGGCCCGAAAGACGCGATTGAGAAAGCTTTATAGCCAGGACCACCCCCTTGGCCAACCTGTACTGCGATTTGGGGGTCTTGCCTCCACAACTGCGGAGAGATCAACTCACTCTCGGGTCCTCGGATTCTCTTCGGTGAAGCCTTAGGTAGGGCTGGACTGGCCCTGGGGAAGTTGCTTCGTTTGGGCGACAGACCAACACCCCCCCGGACCCTTCTGGCCGTCCTCGTCGTGATGATCTGTCAAGCTTGCCTAAGTCGTGTACACCTACACATCAAGGCTACGTTCTTTGAACTTTGAAACAAATACGCCGGTTTTAGACTCGTTTTTAGAGCTCCAAAGTTCATGGTGGTCCGACGGCGGACCACGGCGATGGTGTGGTGTGTGCCGTGTATTGCAAGGGGGTGGCCACCTTTGGGTAGTTGCCCCTTCATTGCAGCATATACACGGCGGAAATGTATGCATTTTGGCCTTCTGTGGAGACGGTACGGACCGAGGAAAGCTTTCTCAGCTTTCCTCGTATGTACCGACTCTCTGAGCTCTTTGGGTGGACTTTACATGACTGGTTCTGTGTGGATCCTGTCGTCGTGTTCTTGTTAGAAAGATATGCCAAACTGGAGCGCCTCGGAAAAACGATGGTTGTTGTCTGGGTTTCTGTACTCATCGGCCTGGATGGTAACGTGCAGACGTGGCGGTAAAAGCCGGAACGCTCACGTTCCCGACCGGACCATCACGATGACGGACCACCACTGACGATAAACGAGCCGTAAAAACAATGATAAGGGTAAGATGCCAGCGTCAGTGGGCGGGATCGTCCGAGAGGCTCTTGCGTGTTGAGAGCACGACTTTCACGATGGCCCCACGAGGGAACAAGGAATAGTTCTTACCAGATTAAGAATAGGTCATATGCGGTTGCCACATGGGCAGTTGCTCTTGGGACAACACCCGCGAAGATGCACCCAGAAAGGTGTGTTCCACATTATTGAACCGGGTCATGTCTTTGTTCCTTATAGGTGCGAGTGGCATGCTGCCTGATTTAAAATGGGTTCTCGGACAATAACGAATTTCAGAGTCCCCATTACGCTTTTTAGGAGAATTGGTAATTTTTATTGTATGTAGCCTTAAAACTATGTGTTTTGTGATTCTGTGGTTTGTATAAGTGAGCGTATTTATTAGTGTGAATGGGGAGGGGCTGATGGTGAAACAGAATTTCCAGCTGTGTGCATGATTTGGATCGAAGGCAGAATATATATAAAAGTACCACATCGATCTCAATTAGATTAGTTGGTTACTGTGTGCAGGTCGAGAGAGGAATGTTGAGTACTCAATCTACTAAACGAAATGTGCGCAATGTACATAGGTGTGAATGTATTTATTCGTGTGAATGCATATCGAATGTGTGTTGTCATATTTCGCATGCGCTCGGGGCTGAAATGGCCTAGCTGTCGGATGCCCTTGTAATTAAAAAAAGACGAACAAAAAAACAACAGCAGAAGCAAAAATGCAGGAGAAAGTGGAGTGCGAATCGGGACTAGGATTAGGAAAAACACTGTTTCCTTGAGGCTATAGAACATTGAATACTGTGTTTCTCAATTTAAAAGAAATTGCTATACTCATTACTTCTATTGTCTAACAGAGAATCTTGTGAAAGGAGAGAGTTGTTGCATAGCCACAAGGATGTTGGGGTTTTTACCTGATCCTGACCTTGATGGAGGTGAAGAATGATGTAGTCCTGCTAGCCAGTGTGTTCTGCTCACCGAGCTCGGATGTGCTTTTTGACAAGTGCCTCGCCAACAATCTTGGATCTTGCTCCTCTTCCATTTTCTCTGGAAAGCGAACAAAAACGTACTTTTTACACTTTTGAAGAAAATTTACCAATGGGTACTTAAGGAACTGCTACAATATTTCTCGTGTCAGAAAAAAATGACTGGCGCAAGTTACTGATACAATTTCTTATGTATTTTAAGAAGTTACAAAAATATTATAAAACAAAATCCCTCTATCAGAAACAATGAAAGGGTTGTTAACACTATATGTCTGTCACACCACCGAAAAAACAAGGTTTCGATTTTCACTAGCCCGCCTCTTCACTTGGATAACTGCACTTAGACGTTGAACTTTGAAATAATATTTGATGGAATCCGCTATTAATATCTAAGTAAGCAGATGTAAATAATTCTCTCGCTATCTCACTGAAATGGTAATGTATTAACTTCAAAGTGGTTCAATGAAGCTCGTTTGGCTTTTCTTATTAACGGCGAGAGAGTACACTTTTCATCGGCCATTTCTAATATTTAAATAATAAATAAATATATATATAGTCAGTTACTTTGGAAGATAATCACAAAATCGACTTCTTTCCTGTTTTAAACTTTGTAAACTACTTCTGACACTCTAGTCCTATAATAGCATCTTCGCCGGGTACAAAACGGATTGCTTTTCCCACTCGATTTAAGTTCTTTTCTTCATTATTATAAAATTGTAATAACATGGAAAATTGACTGTTTTATTTTCACCTTGCCAACAGGATTGGATCATTGGAAAGTTTCCTAATATCATAGCCGACTTGTTTAAATAACGTTAGATTCTTAAAATTTGTCAGCTCCAAACTTCCGGAAATAAGGAAATGTATTTTATTGAAAGGGAATAAATTAACATTAATGTGAAATAAAGTGTAATGAAAAAATTAGTTGAAAAAAAATGAGCCCCTTATTTAAAGCATCTGCACGACCACTCGGTCTTGAAGGCTTAGTATAACCGGAGCGCCGTTTATTTAATTTTTCGTTTTTCTTTTCACTGAAAAATACCTGTTTGAATCGAAAATAATCATTGAATTCCAAAGTTCATTTTTACTATTTTAAAACCCATGCCCTGTATTTTTTCGAAATTTCCAGTACATCTTATCCCTTGTGTTTATCAGGTTTTACTGTTTGTTTCAGTTTGGTTGTTCTGCTTGATTTTTAAGTAAACTAAAGTGGCTCAAAAACTGCAAAAAAATTATTTGAAAAGTTAAATTTATGGTGAAATCTTTTCCCAAATTTATATTTGTATCATGAAAATTAATTCCATAAGAATTAAAATTTACAGGCTGAAAAAACAATCATAGAATAGTTTACTGAATTAAAAGAGCTCCCCATTTATTGTTGGAAATGCTTCGAGGACGACCGCTATTCGTTCATTAGACGAACTTCTTCCTACCAGTCATCTTTAAAACACAGCGTTACAAATTTTAAAAATTCAAATGCTCAGTTTCAAAGAAAATGTAACAAGTTAAGCATTGAGGGTGATTTCGGTTTTCACACTCTGTCCTTGTCTGTCTGTCTGGCTTTGCACACGCCAAACTTCACAGCTGAGTTTGAATCAGTTAATATTGGTCAAAACAGAGAATAAATTGATGACCAATGCCCCGCATTTGTTCAAAATTTCCATTGTACTTATCCCTTGTGTCTATCTGATTTTACTGTTTATTTCTGTTTGATTGTTGGTGTTATTCTGCTAGAATAAGGCTAAATAATTAAATTGAAATTGAGTGATTTTTAAGTAAATAAACTGAAGTGGATCAAAAGCTGCAAAAAATTATTTGAAAAGTTAAATTTATGGTGAAATCTTTTCCGCTGTTAATTATAAAAAGGAGATCATTTTTAGAAACTAACACTGAAAATGATTAGCTTAGTTAGAGGTTGTCAAAAAGAAAAAACTAGTCACTATTCTATTTCTTTTCACTGATTCGTCCGCATAATTGTATTTCTGTGGACTTTGAAATAATATTTGATGAAATCGGCTTTTAATATATAAGTAAGCAGACGTAAATAATTGACTTGCTTATTAATACCGAAAGAATACACTTTTCATTGGCGGTTCTATTCTTTAAATCCGTAGGTCGTCCGATGCTTTGGGAGAGAATAACAAAATTGATGTCTTTCTTGTTTCAAACTTTGTTTGAAAGTTTGCTAATATCGCAGCCGACTTGTTTACATTATAAGATGAGGTTCTTAAAATTTGTCAGCTCCAAACGTCCGGTAAGAAGGAAATGTATTTTATTAAAAGGCAATAAATTGACATTAATGTGAAATAAAGTGTAATAAAAAATTTGTTTTTGGGTTGAGCCCCTGATTTAAAGCGTCTGCACGACCACACAGTCTTGTAGGTTTAGTATAACCGGAGCGCCGTTTATTTAATTCTTTTTCCCGTGAGAAATATCTCTTTGAATCGAAAATAATCATGTGCATTGAATTCCAAAGTTCATTTTTATTGTAAAAACATTTTTAAATTTCGTGAAATTTGTATGATTTTGGTCTGAATCATTGCCTCCAACAGGGTGGAGATTCTTGAAATAAGAACTAATTTTTAAATGCTAGAAATATAATCATTGAATATAAATTACTGTTAAATGTCAATGTTAAATCCTTACAACTCTTATTTCGGTCGTCTCTGGTAGGGTGCTGTGAAATCTGCTAAAACATAGCCCATCGCCTTTTCAGAGATTCGAACCAAAAGTTTGACATTCTTCCGTATCAAAGCAGTTTTCAACCATTCTACTCGTTACCTCCTTCTTACCGTTGATCATTTTTTTGCATTTAATCCCTTGAAATTTTTTTCTCAGAAAATGAAAGACCTTTATCGTTCATGAAAGTTGATTAATGTTTTATCCACGAACATAAATAAATAGATGTGACTGAAAGCAATTTGACGCCAAAAGTCTAGCCGCAAATTTGATAATTTTGTAGAGTTATATTCTTTACATTTTCAAAGCCCGGAATTTCATTGAACCAATTTCATTATGTGCAAAAAATGGTAGGTTAGTATAAAAACTTTTCGTTAAAACAAACAGTCGTTACTTCTTTAAAAAGATAACACTGAAAAATGAGACGGAGTTTAAAATTCCGGTCATTCATGCCCTTAAAAATGACCTCTTGGGTGGATTACGATATATCAAGTGGAAAAGATAATAATAATAAGATGAATTAAAGACATTATAAGTAAAAATTTCACATTAAATTCTTAAAAAACTCTTATAACCGTTTTCTGCCAAATTGGAATCATAAATTAGGGCCCGAATGTTCAATAATTCTGCTTTTATTTTGATGTTATGAGGTACTGAGGAATTTATAGTTTTGACACATTATGGCTAATCGATCTGGGTTATGTGGTCGTCGTCCGTAATAACTAATCACTGCTAAATCCTCTCTCTGATTTGACACGTCTGTATATATAAAACCATGGATGAGGAGCACCGTCCTACTTCCCAACTATACAAATTTTGGCTGATCATCTTTACACGCTGTTATTATGTTAGAGAGGAAGCTTGTTTTACCAGGGGTAGTTCATCACATTTTCATCATTCTCGGTCTGTGGGTTCCTTGATGAATTGAAGGCATTATAAGAAAAAATTTAAGATTAAATGTTTTAAAGTTGAAAAGATAATATTTTCCGATGAAATCTCGTTATATTTCCGACGGCTTCTTTTTTCCTATAAATGTGGTTCAGTTGTAATCAAGTATTGCAGAAGGGCAGGCGAAGATCTTCTACAAATGGAACATAGGGGCACTCCTTTTGACAAATTTTTTCCTTTATGTCCTTGTATCCGTAACAACCAACAGGGTTCCTTCGAAAAAATCACAATAGTTCAGTTGTTTCGGACTGTTATTTAGTTTTTCCTTGTCAGTGTCATGTTTATATTTCTTATATAATGTTTCTAGAAAGATAATAACATATTGTGAAATAAATTTATATAATAATAATAATATTAAGGGCTTAAAGATTTTAATATACCTTATAGCTGAGTTTATAATTTTAGGTTAGGTTGGCAATATTTGTATTGTCATTGAGATTATAGTATCGCATGCAAAAAATTATAGCATGTTTTGTTTTCTTAAAAAAAATTGAATAGTCAAGTGTTTTGTAATTTCTGTGAAATTCAAATAATTTATTAAATTCTATGACTTGTATTTATTCATCTGTGAGAAATAAGAAAGCATTTATTTAAAAAAAGGATCAATTTATGTAGCAAAATTAAAACATCCATCTGTCTGGATGACAAGCCGGGGTTAAAACAACAATGAACCACCAAAACCTTCTATTCTTTTATTATTTTTTTTTTCAAAAAGAAGAAAATGAAACTGAACACCTCGCCTAGGGGAAACGTATAAAGTCCAATTTATATTTGTATCATAACAAATTAATTCCACAAGAATTAAAATTTACAGACTGAAAAAACAATCATGAAAGAGTTTACTGAATTAAAAGAGCTCCCCATTTATTGTTGGAAATGCTTCGAGGTCGACCGATATTCGTTCATTACACGAACTTCATCCTACCAGTCATCTTTAAAACACAGCGTAACAAATTTTAAAAATTCAAATGCTCAGTTTCAAAGAAAATGTAACAAGTTAAGCCTTGAGGGTGATTTCTGTTTTCTTACTCTCAGTCCTTGTCATTCTGGCTTTGCTCACTCCAAACTTCACAGCTGATTTCTGCTGTAGTTTCGGTTTTATGTAGCAAACTCTGTAGTGTGATTAAGCAACTTCCTTACCTAAAATTTCAATCAGTTAACTGGACAAAATAAATTGATAACCAATGCCCCATATTTGGTCGAAATTTTCATTTTATCTTATCCCTTGTGTCTATCTGATTTTACTGTTTGTTTCTGTTTGATTGTTGGTGTTATTCTGCTAGAGTAAGGGTAAATAGTTAAATTGAAATTGATTGAATTTTAATGATCAGCCAAACTGAAGTGGCTCAAAAGCTGCAAAAAAATTATCTGAAAAGTTAAATTTATGGTGAAATCTTTTCCGCTGTTAATTATAAAAAGGAGATCATTTTTAGAAACTAACACTGAAAATGATTAGCTTAGTTAGAGGTTGTCAAAAAGAAAAAACTAGTCACTATTCTATTTCTTTTCACTGATTCGTCCGCATAATTGTATTTCTGTGGACTTTGAAATAATATTTGATGAAATCGGCTTTTAATATATAAGTAAGCAGACGTAAATAATTGACTTGCTTATTAATACCGAAAGAATACACTTTTCATTGGCGTTTCTGATCTTTAAATCCATAGGTCGTCAGATGCTTGGGAGAGAATAACAAAATTGATGTCTTTCTTGTTTCAAACTTTGTTGGAAAGTTTGCTAATATCGCAGCCGGCTTGTTTACATAATAACGTGAGGTTCTTAAAATTTGTCAGCTCCAAACGTCCGGAAAGAAGGAAATGTATTTTACTGAAAGGGAATAAATTAACATTAATGTGAAATAAAGTATAATAAAAAAAATTGGTTCTCGGCCGAGCCCCTGTTTTAAAGCATCTGCACGACTACACGGTCTTGCAGGCTCAGTATAACCGTAGCGCCGTTTATTTAATTTTTCCTTTTTGAAAATGAAAGCCCTTTTACGTTTTGGCATAGTTTAATTCCATCGGAGTTTCTTCATGCACTGGTTTTCCTAATTAAATTTATTGAATTGCAAAGGCACAGGAATGCTTAAAACGATATGTCGACATTTTCTTGGCCTACTTTTATCATCCATAAGATATATCTTGGTTCGGATCGAATTACCCATGTAGCCGCCGATCACAATCTTTGGTTGAATTTTCATTTGCTTTCTAAACTGTTACCTACTTCTTAACATCTGACTTTTATCAATAAACCTCATATTTTATGTATATATTATTTCTAAAGGTAGGTTGGGTGGCGTCGGGGACCGCAATGGTTGTAATGCCGAACTTTACTCTAAGGGAAAGGTCCCAGGTTCGATCCTAGTTTAATTAAATCGATCATTTTGCTAGATATTAAGAAAAATAATATCTTATTTTTTCTTTGGATTATCTTCACCTTATCTCACTAGGCAATAAGCGTTATGCCCTCTGGGCTGACTCTTATAAACGTTTTCGACCAAATTGTGATCATAAACTAGGGCCCGAATGGTCAATAATTCTGCTGTTATTTTGATGTTAGTGAGAAATTGAGTAAGGTATTGTTTTGTATCATATGAGAAAAAGCATTGACTTATTTAATCGATATTTGAATTTGTTAAAAAGCCGTTAAGTTTGCATGATATTTCACAACTGTTAGTATTTCGCTTGAGTAAAGGGACCTGTAGTACCATGAGTTATTTTAAATTCTCATTTATGAAAGTGGATTAATGTTTTATCCTAGTCTTTAAGTAAAAACACGTGACGGGAAGCAACTTGACGCCAACGATCCGGCCCCAAAGCCGATAAGTTCGTAAAGTGATATATCATGTTACTGAACGAAACACAAGAAAAGCCCGTTAGTTATCAACTTACTAGCAATTTACCCCAAGAAAGCCCCCACCCCCAAGATTACTTCACTTATTGCTCAACCCATAGGGAAGATCTCAGACAAAACGACTATTAAAAAATAAAATATCAATTATATAGCTGTTTGAAAATCTTCAGCTCTTCTTTTGCTTAAAAAAAATAAAACTTCGTTACATTTTCAATCAAAAACCCTCGGGGTTTTGGTATTTGTGAAAAAAATTGGAAGTATTAAGGGTTTATTATTGAGGTTTTTTATTATTATAGGCGTTAAAAAATTAGCTTTTGAACATAATTAACAAAGATTCATATTCATTTAAGTTAATCAGCTGGAACGGTTTTTTGCGGCGGGCGAGTGGTCAGAGCGTTCGACTCGTAAATATTTGTCACGCTTGAAGTTTCCTGGGTTCGAATCCCATCCCGCCCATAAATTTTAACTTATAGGAAAAAAGTATTGTAAAGTGGTCCTCCTCGTCCGGTACCAAACATTAGTTAAACGTTAAGTAACCCTCTGTTGTATTTATTAGGTTTTGTGGTCCGCTGAACCGTATAAATTCTTTTCAATTAGTTAAGGTTTTGGTTGAGATAAAAAAGTCAGTGTCACAAGCGGGATTCGAACCCACGACCTTCGGCTAAATACCCGCTGCTCTACCACTTGAGAACCACAAAACCTAATAACTGTGTACTTCACTAAAGCTCTCCGTGGCCATTTCATTTGTCGCCGAGAATCAAATAGATTACACGACATTTGAAAAATGGCAAAAAGGAGGGAAAATTCAAAAGGTGGGTTGAGATGGGAAGTCACGATAGCTCAAGTGGTAGAGCAGCGGCGTATCTAGCCGGGTTCGAATCCCGCTTGTGAAACTGACTTTTTTTACCTCTGTTGTAAGTTTATCCTCCTCTACGTGGCATACCAAAAGATCTAATTTTTCCGTACCTCTCATTTCTCCCCGGTTCGAAATTTTTCCGTTCTGTCAACAAATTTATTATCACTAAAAACGATCTATCCATAAAAGTCATGCTAATTGGTCGATATCAATTAAAAAACAAAACAAAAAAACAATATGATGAAATTTATTTAGAAATCGTGAAATGTGGTCTGGTGTGATGTAGGTTTCAGAAAAACATTTTCTTTATCGTGCCCACGTTTCGATCTTTATTGAGATCATCTTCAGAGCCTGGGATTTACAAACATTGTTAAATATAACAATTACATTTTGGATGTGGAAAAGTGAATTTATACAATGCAAAATATATTTTTTATATATTCCATCAAAGTATTTCTACTCACTCACAGAGTAAAGCAATATATCTATGATTGCAAAAAACTAAGCAAAATCCTACAGCACTCGCTACCCACCATCTTGAACACAAACACAATTTCGACTTCAAAACTCCAAAAGTATTACACACAGAACAAAACAAACATAAACGTAATTTCTTAGAAATGGTTTATATCAACAGAGATAAACACAGCATCAATTACAGAACAGCCAATATCATTAATCAAATTCAATACAGATAACATACCTATATCATCACATTACATTTCACACATCAAATATTTTTCACATAGTCTAATTTCCCAACAATTTAGCTTTCCTTTTCCTATTTATCCCCTTCTATATAATTCTGAAAGGATAATCTGGCCGAACCATTACCAACACATTTTTCCCCTTCGTCGGCTCTTTTCACCTCAAAGAAGCCGACGCCTTGTACAAAAATGTCTTTTCTATACCGACTTCCTTCCCCACCCCCTCAAAATCCAACGTATAAAAACATAACAGCGATATCTCACTGTCACTCTCAACACGACAAGGATGTCTCAATTACGCAGAAGACAAACAGTTTGAGTGAGTAGAAATACTTTGATTGAATATATAAAAAATTTATTTTGCATTGTATAAATTCACTTTTCCCACACCCAAAATGTAATTGTTATATGTAAACAATGTTTGTAAATCCCAGGCCCTGAAGAGGATCTCAATAAAGATCGAAACGTTGGCACGATAAAGAAAATGTTTTTCTGAAACCTACATTACACCAGACCGCATCTCACGATTTCTGAATAATTATCGATTAACGGTCACTAATCACCACACAATATGATGAAATTTGTAATTTCAGATTAAACATTTTTTTAAAGAATTCCATTTTCTAGCAGGGTTGTATACATGGAAAATAATACGACTTGCATTATAAAATGTGTCGTTTTTTTCGAATAAAAAGTACTATCCTAGAGAAAAACTCGTCAAAAATTAAAGATTTATTTATTTTCATTTTTTTTCAAATACACTGAGAGCCATAAAATTCCGCCCACTTGTGATATAACTTGATCTGTATATAATTTTATATATTCATCCAAGTTTCTTATTTTTTAACATTTATTTTTTTAAAAAAGACGGACGGATAAAATTTGTTTTAATTGTGTTTCAGATTTTTTAAAATATTTCAATATGGCGTATTTTCTCCTTTTGCCATAATTACATCTCGAAGACGCCTCGGCATACTTTCTACCAGTCTGGAAATGTCTACTTCCTGGAGTTTAGTTCATTCTTCGCGAAGAGTCCTTTCAAGATCGTGGAGTGTATCAAGTGATGGACGTGCTCTTATTCGTCTTTTGAGGTTATCCCAAAAATGTCCGATGGGATGTCCATGTCTGGAGAACACTGAACAGTAACAAAACTTCGAAAACTGATATGAACACAAAAACGTACAAAACTAAGATAATTTACTACTTAATCTTGATCTACAGCAATATATGATTGTTGATTTACATAAGCTCAAATCCGCAGAAGATTTTGCATAAACCCACACATGTGCAGAGTTGAGCCTAACACTTCTCGCAGTTCACCATTAATTCCAATTTGTAATTTACAGTAAATTACCGGCAGGCCTGGAGAACCACCCACCGTGGTTGGCTCGAGGAGCTAACAGGTCATTTCATCCCAAAACGCAATCACTTAAAAAAAAAAAAAAAAAAAAATACACACTTTCACTATAAGAGAATCTATTTATTTGTATGCGTGTACATTAGTAACAGCTGTATAACTTGGGCGTTGCCCAGGGGGATAATATAAAGTTTTATTTTAAACATTATTTTGAGTATACGTAATTCAATCGCTTGTTTGGGGGTATATATAAATTAGATGAACATAATTTAAAGTTTAAACTTGTCCAAACTTTACTCATACTTTCAACAACCACAACTGGATGCAAGTTATATTCAAAATTTGAATTATAGTGAAATGCAATACCATCAAGTTTTACCAATTGATTTAATCGATTCATTTCCTTGCATAACCAACGATTGTCACGTTGTTCATTTTGATCCCAATAGGGCAAAGTTTGTCTTAGTTCTCTAATTCTTGCTCGGCTTGCTTTGTTCGTGCTTTGTGGTGAGATGATTCAGTAGCATATGAATTATATTTTGTCTATTTCCCTGTGTTCTTCCTTGTTCTGTTTCTTTTTGTCTTTCATCTCGTTTTCACTTGGCAACATTCGTGCAATGACAAATATTTTTCGTTTTGGTACCACTTTAAACAAAAAACGCAATTCCAACAGCGATTCTAAAACAGCAGAGTCAAAAATACAAAATGTAAGATTAAACATAATTCATAATTTCACTAATTTCGTGGTCCGTTTGACCAATTAATATATTACAATTAATTAAGGTTTTTAGTCGAGACAATTGAAAAATGGCAAAAAGGAGGGAAAATTGAAAAGGTTCGGTTGAGATAATGTCCGAGCGGATCGAGGTCACGACAGCTCAAGTGGTAGAGCAGCGGCATATCTAGCCGAAAATCGTGGGTTCGAATCCCGCTCGTGCCATTGACTTTTTTGTCTCGACTAAAAACCTTAATTAATTGTAATAATTCATAATACAGCAAAATCATCTCAATTAATTACAAAACATTGAAAAACTTCACTAACTCTTCGCAACTTCACATTTTATAAAATTCAGAATGTTAATAACTTCAATTGGCTCAACAACAGCACTACCTTTAATTTAAACTGACCAAGTTCGGTAAAACAATTTTAATGACATATCATATACTTTATAACTGTTTGTGCATACTTACTTGTATATCAAAATCGGTTTTTGTAATCTTTATCTTTGTATACTACATAAACGTTCACTTGGAGCACTTTTCTCAATTGTGATGGTTTGGCTGTGTGGAACGGTCGTCGGTCAAGCCACACATGCCGGTAGTTAGTTCTCCAACCTACACCACTGCTGCCTATAGTAAAGATACAACGGTGAAGTTTTTATCTTGATATTTTTACATCAGTAATTTGTGCGACATAGAGTGTAAGCGAAGTTTATGGGTCTATTGGCTGTTAGACCACCAAATCGGAATTTGAAAGACGCGGAAACGTGTATTATACGGGAAGCCGAAGGCCGACTGGACAGCGCTGACATCAGTGAAAACAGATGTGAGAATGGACGCCACAAATTCCTGAAATCTATCTTTTTTTATATATCCTGACGGCCATTATTTATATGCCGATTTTATAACTAAATACTACTAGTTACTCAACTAAACTCGCCCGGCACGAATAAAAACAAAGTGTGAACGTTTCATCGAAATCGGTATATATTTATTTATATATATAGATTTTGGAAAGCCTATAATTTAGACTTAACTCATTGAAATTAATAGATAAAATGAAGCTTATCTATGAAATAATAATAATAATATAACATAATAATATATTTTTATTTTTTATGACTATACACACAATATTGCTTTTTCGTGTTGTTTTTAACCCTTTATGGCCTAATGTTGTCTTAGGGTAAGATGAAATTCAGAAATTTTTAAAAAAATTAGCAGTGAAGCAGTTTAGTGATAGATTGGCGCCAAATAAACAAGTGTTGCCAATTGCAAAAACAGAGCGGGAACAACACTGCGACCGTCTAAACTCGCAGGACTTCCGACTAACCTTAAAAAAATTACTAAAGTTATCATTGCTCTGAGTGTTAAATTATAACTTGTAATAATTAATTATAATAATTAATTAAACTGTAATTTGATTTTTGGCAAATATAACAATAGATACAAGATGCAGTGGTGGGGTGAAGTGCTAGTTGTAGAGAGAGAAGATTCCAAGTGGAGATTTTAAATTGCGTTGTTGTGTGCTTGTGTTGCTAATGAACGGGATGAAAAAATTGAAGGGAAAACTCTGCACCCGCCCTAAACTCATGGGATTATCTAAGCTTCAACAAAGTTGTTAAATTTGGTGTTGCCCCGACAAGAAAGTGTTCATTCGTTTTCAATCGACGTGTCAATTTTGGTTGGCATTCTGGTTATTTTTTTAAAAAATTTGTGATTCTTCTTTTGGCAGATATTGCCTTGAATCGTAGATTTTAAGCCATGCAGAGGTTTTTCGACGAAAATCCTCAACCATTTAAATGCTTGAAATATTTAAACAATTCTGTTGGTCAGAAGTACCTGATTTTTCAGAAAGTAGTAGGAACTTTGTATGATTAAAGGACTCTATTAGTGAGGTGCTACAGTTGAACGGATATAATTAAATTATGAAATTGCCCCTGGACATCAATAGGCCAATTATAAACCTCTTCTTGCTAAATTGCCCATTAGGCAAATGGAAAATCTCACTTTCTCATAAACTTAATGGAACCCGGTTTGAGAATTTCTCAGGACTTTTGTACCCGATTGGCCAAAGGGCAAAAACTGTTTCTAACCGAGTTGGCAGATAAAACAAAACACACCCAACATTTACTCAAAACAGTGTCGACTTCATCATTTTAAATGAATTCTACCAGGAGTTAAACTGTAAAACTGATGTACAACGAAACTCTTGTATTGTACTTCTCAGATTTTGTTTATGATCTTACGATTACAATTAAACGGGAACTTGAAAGAAACCGAGATCCAATAGCATCTTAGCGTTTCTCGACAAAGTAACCTTTATAACCTCAAAGTAACCTTATTTAATTTCAAATGAACAGTTTTTAACTTCAAAATAACACTTTTTAACTTCAAATTATCTAATTTTTTAATTTCCTATTAAAATTTTTAATTTCAAATTAACACTTTTTAACTTCTGTTTAACCCTTTATAATTTCAAATAAACAGTTTTAACTTCAAATGAACACAACTTCAAATTAACTATATTTTTATTTCCTATTAAAATTTTTAATTTCAAATTAACACTTTTTATCTTCAATTAACTAATTTTTAATTTCCTATTAACATTTTTAATTTCAAATTAACACTTTTTATCTTCAAATTAAATATTTTTAATTTCCTATTAAAATTTTTAATTTCAAATTAACACTTTTTAACTTCAGATTAACCCTTTTTAATTTCAAATGAACAGTTTTAACTTCAAATGAACACCTTTAACTTCAAATTAACTAATTTTTTAATTTCCTATTAACATTTTTAATTTCAAATTAACACTTTTTATCTTCAAATTAAATATTTTTAATTTCCTATTAAAATTTTTAATTTCAAATTAACACTTTTTAACTTCAGATTAACCCTTTTTAATTTCAAATGAACAGTTTTAACTTCAAATGAACACCTTTAACTTCAAATTAACTTATTTTTTAATTTCCTATTAAAAATTTTAATTTCAAATTAACACTTTTTAATTTCAGATTAACCTTTTATAATTTCAAATAAACAGTTTTAACTTCAAATGAACACTTTTAACTTCAAATTAACTATTTTTTAAATTTCCTATTAAAATTTTTAATTTCAAATTAACACTTTTTATCTTCAAATTGACTATTTTTTAATTTCCTATTAAAATTTTTAATTTCAAATTAACTTTTTATCTTCAAATTAAATATTTTTTAATTTCCTATTAAAATTTTTAATTTTAAATTAACACTTTTTAACTTCAAATTAACCCTTTTTAATTTCAAATAAACACCTTTAACTTCAAATTAACTATTTTTTAAATTGCCTATTAAAACTTTTAATTTCAAATTAACACTTTTTAACTTCAAATGAACACTGTTAACTTCAAATTATCAATTTTTTAATTTCCAATTAAAATCCTTAATTTCAAATTAACACTTTAATATCAATTTAACAATTTTCTTAATTGTAAATTAACATCTTTTTTAATTTCACATTTAATTAACCCTTTTCATTTTTGAACGTCAAATTAACCCTTTTTAAATTCAAAATAACAGTTTTTAACTGTAAATGAACACGTTTTAACTTCAAATTAACCATTTTTTTTGAAAGCATTAAAAAATATATATACCATCTCCTAAGTATGAAATATAAGCATATAATGCAAAATTTCTGTGTTTTTTCAACATATGAAAATTAATTACACTTAAAATAAAAAATTATGTAAAATTAAGTATATAATAACATTATTTAGGACTTAATAATTAGAATAAATAGGGACTTGTTAAGGCAAAGTCTTTTAGTGCTCCAAATGATTTGATATCACAGACTAGCTTTTGGAGATAAGGCGGCCATTGTGCTGAGGTGATGGTCTTTCGCAAACGTTCTCTTTCTGCATTGAATTTGATACAGCTGAAGAGTTTATGTTCTGCGTCTTCTTCAGTGCTGCAAACAGAGCATAAAGGGCTTTCTCTTTTCTTATATTTATGAAGATAGCTTGCGAAGTTTCCATGTCCTGATAGCATTTGGTTGTTCTTAGAACCGTAGGAAAGTTCAATTTATCTTCTTATAGTCTTTGTCACAAAGTTTTTTATTTTATTGCATTATTTGTGAGAAAAATAAGGATCAAATCAACTCATCAAACTCAAATGTTTTATTTTATAACCTGGTATTGATTTATTTAAAGAGGCCAGGTTAGTGCCATTACGTATAGTTTGTGAAGCTCTAAGGCCCTGGATCGTTGTCTATACTTTTCAAAGTTAATACCATTTTCGAAAAAAAATCACAGGCATTTGGAAGGCAAAAAATTTGATAGAAAAATTTATTTTTTGACTTTCCAAAAATTTGTATTCAGGGTTTTTATCGAGTGCAAAAACAAATATAAATCTTGTTTCTTGATAAAAAAATATTTGAACCTACTTTGCTACGGTTTAACGGTAGCGTAGCCTCAACGATTGCTTGCTATTCTTAACACGTGTTCTCCGGAAAAACATAAAGTACTATCCATTACATTTAGTGGTCTATTGACCAAATTACTTCTTTTAATTAAATAATCTTTTTACGTAAGGTTTTGTTTGAAATAAAAAGCTAGTGTCACAAGCGGGATTCGAACCCACGACCTTCGGGTCAATACGCCGCTGCTCTAACCACTTAAGGACGATAAGCACGAACTATCGTGACTTCGGAAGATAATCATCAATAAAGTACAACTTATAATATCTACTGGATACAAATAAATATTTAAAAAATGTCGTTAGTGCGAGATCAAGAGTTATGTGAAATAAAAACAGTATTTGTGAAATAAAAATTGGTTCTAGGTTGAGCCCCTGATTTAACCACGCATCACGTCCGCACGGTCTTGTTGGCTCAGTAGAACCGGAGCGCCGTTTATCTTCTCTCAGTTTCGGGTATGATGGCATTCTTTCAATTAGACTTTCTATGTCACCGTTTATTGAGCAAATATATTTAGACTTCATTTGGCTTGTCTCTTTTGACGTTGAAGGGTTTGGTGAAAGAATTGACTTTTCATCCACCACAGACAAGATTTATACCCGCTTAATTAAAAACACATCGTTAATTTAACGAGTTGAATTTTTTTTAAACAGTGTCGAATAAAAAATATAGACAATACTTGCTAACGACACACAGTATAACGAGATGGACAAAAGTTTATTTATTTATTTTTGAAATAGCTTTATTTATCTTCATATTAACAAGAGTAGGTATCATGAATGAACTTTTTAGAAAAAGGTCGAGGGGTCAGAAATTCCATGGTCGGCGGTGGGAATCAAACCCGTGGCGAGCGAAGTTTCGTGGATTACTTCTGAATAAATTTGTTTCCAGAAAAAGCTCTTTTTTAAAAATTCCAGAGAGAGAGTTAGAGAGTGTGTGCGAGAAGGATAGGGTGAAGGGAAGAGAGAGAGGGAGAGAGTGTGTGCGAGAGGGATAGGGTGAAGGGAAGAGAGAGAAGGAGAAAGAGTGTGCGAGAGGGATAGGGTGAAGGGGGAGAGAGAGAGGGGGAGAAAGAGTGTGCGAGAGGGATAGGGTGAAGGGGGAGAGAGAGGGGAGAGAGAGAGAGAGAGAGAGAGAGAGTGTGAGAGAGAGAGAGAGCGAGTGAGAGAGGGTGA